GGTTTTGTATATATTTCATTATTTCTTTTTATTTTATTATTAATATTTCATTAAAGTAGTTTAGTTCCTTCTAAACTCATAAGTCTCTCTTCTTCCTCTGCCTCTCTCTTTGAAGAGGGGTAGAGAGGAGCATTTGTCGGTCCCATCTGGGGTCCCCCAGGTCCCCAGTAGCCGATTTGGCCTAAATCACGACATAAGGAAATGACAGATAATGTTGCATTGGCTGGTTTTGCTGTTGTTGCTTGCAACAGCTTAGTGGATGCAGTAAGATTGACTTGAATGACCTTCTGGCTTCATTAGCATACCATTCAGTTTAATGATCAATATTAATATAACATTACTGAAGTTCAGATTGGATGTTAGGAAAAGGTTCTTCACTGAGAAGGTGGTCAGTCACTGAAACAGGCTCCCTAAGGAAGTGGTCATGGCACCAAACCTGTCAGAGTTCAAGGAGCATCTGGACGACACTCTTAGACATATGATTTAGTTTTAGGTAGTCCTGTGAGGAGCAGGGAGTTGGACTCGATAGTCCTTACGCGTCCCTTCCAACTTGAGATATTCTATGATGCTACTAATACTGCAAAGTCAAACTGTTCAATGCTAGAAAACAGCAGAAATAAGTTTGCCTGCACCACACTGGTTCAGCCTTCTGCACATTTCGAAATTATATAGGCTACCCAGAAAACTTTTCCCATGGACTTCTTGCTTTGCTGTGTGATTAGGATGGAGAAGCTCAGCTAATGAGGAAACTTTTTTTTTTTCCTTCACTGCTCACTGTCTGTTTTCAGGCTTTATTTGCAGAGCACTGTTTTGGAGAGAGAGAAAATTGTTTCTTCATGCAGCTTCCTATGGTGTTCAGCTCTGTAACACATGAGCACTCCGTAAGCACTAAATAAATTCAATTTTCACACTATTCCAGCAAACTGAAGGGTTGGTGGTGACTTATCTAGCAAATAGGGAACAGAAACAGCACAACTTAGGGCTTCCAGAAATTTCAGATGTCACTTCTTGCCGATGTTAGGTAATGCTTTTAGTGTGCAGTCCTTCTCTATGACAATAACACCCAGCTGAGAACACAGCTTATTGCATGAGTTTTTGTAGCAGTTTCTACTTTGCTTAGCAAACATAGCCAAAAGGGTTGGAAGCTTCCCTTCCAACGAGACAGTGCAAAGCTTTATCTGGAAAACTTTGTTTTCTTTTTGAAACATTTCACAGCATTTCATATTCTTAGGAGAGTTAATCAGATAAGTAGTGAGCTAATTAGCCAAATATCTGCACTATTACTGCATAACAAATCCAGACCTGGCTATGAGAAACGTGAAGCTCAGGCTGGTTCACAGTCTGTTTCTCAAAGCCCTTTACAGCAGAAAGAAAAGTTCCTGATAACAGTCAAGATCTAACTCCAGTATAAGGGGCACACAGGGAAACAATAACTCAACCTAAATTCCGTAGCACAATGCTGTCAAACATAATCCAGGGGGGATGTAATCGGGTGTATGAGCAGAGATGTAACAAAATGGTCTTATTTTTGGACATAAGTGTTTTGAAGTGAAAATATTATGTGTGGTTTCAACTATCCAGTGCAGGAAGCTGGTAATGATCATATTAATATAGTGCATATAAGCAGCCACCTGGGAATGTTGCTGTTTGCTAAATTTAAGACATGGGAAGAGAAATTTCAACAACAATCATGTTCTTCCCCATCTCTCTGCTGTTTCAGATATTCACCTGGTACACCATGCAGTCTTCACTGGGGGCACCAGCTGTCTCCTCCATAGTCATCTTTGGCCAGTACCTGTCTCAGCAGAATTGGGTGGGTGGTGAACATGGGAGCTTACAATGTCAGATATGCCTCAGAGCAATGTCTCCTCCTACTCTTGTCCCTAACCCATACACTATGGGCAGCGAAATCCTTACTGCCCAAAACAACGCAAATACCTTACCAGAAGAAAGTAAGAGACTCACAGAGTAATTTGCTTCAGACAGGTAGACAAGCTAGGTCAAGCTGAATGCTTAAAACAACGCTTTCAGCTTGGTCTAGAAAGCATTTCAACAAGAGTCAAGCCTTTTAACCACACAGATGGGATGCTGGATTACAGGA